GGTGGCCCTGCAAAGAGTTGCCAGACAAACATTTACATTTATAAGGCAAATCTCCATTTGTAAAGGTATCTCCCTCTCTGTACTAGGAAGAGGGGGGATGACCTCATCTCTAGAAACTTATCAGTACGGAAGGAGAGGCCTTAAATCTGCATATCGTTGATCGCTGTTATTTCTGTCTCCCTTCTGTCTCCCTCTCCACCCCCAACATCCTCCTTTGTCTTTAGCTGAAGATGGTATATAAGATGAGAATCGCCGCTATTGTGTTGAGAAACTCAGTTTCCCTGGTTTCTCCCAGGTATACATGTTATTAAACTTGGTATTGTTTTCTCCTGCTAACCTGTCTTTTTAATTGTTTGGCCAGCCACAAGAACCTATAGGGAAAGGGTGGAGGGGGATTCTCCTTCTTCCCCGACACGAAGATTATTGGTTGTGGTACTGGAGTTTCCCAGGCTGATGTCAGAAATCACATCCTAGAAAGATAAAACAGGTAAACTTTCTGAGAAGCAGGATGGACTAAGTGACCTCAGGAGGCAGAGGAGACTGGGAAGACTGGAACTGGCCTTGAAGTTGGCAAGAAAGTTCACCAGATCATTTGAATGTGGTAGGAAATTAATCTGCTTTGCAAATATAATCAGATATTTAGGATGCCAGTCCTCCTTGTTCCCATGATCCACAATCAGAAATCACAAGTACAGAACCTCCAGGTCTGTCCCTGCCTGCTGGAGCATGAAACATCAGAGGAGGTGGTGCCAGCGAGGGATCAAACTAGGAAACAGTCATTAGAGTAATTTCATGCCAAGCAAGTGGTCACTCAACTGAGCAGGGAGCCTACCCTCTCTGCTCAACATGCCTCAGGCCACAGACTCACAGAACAGCAACTTTGCTTAAGGCTAGCTGTGTCCTCGGGGTGACTATAGAGGGCTCACATTTTGCAGGGACCTCCCGTTTTGCAGCAACCTCATTTAGGTAAAGTCTCTTCACCTCTGTCCTTAGTCCAAGTCAGTGATGGGATCTCTTCGGCTTTCTTCTCTGTCAGTAGCTTTCTTCCTATTTTTGTTTCCTCTAGAGACTTTCTTTTGTTTCCTATGCACAGGAAAGTAGGGAAAACTTCACTGCTAAGAGGGTTCTCTCTCATTTCTCTACATGCCCAC